AAAAAAAAAAAAAAAGACCCAGTGGAAGTGAACGCTTGCTGTAGTACCATCTGTATATAAATAAGTCTCATTTGGATGACTTATTTAAAACAAATGTCGAAGAAACTTCTCTGTATCTTTTTGAAGTAACAACTGACAGTACATGTAAAAATAATGTACTTTTATACAGTAACAGATTAAAGGAGAGAGATCCTATGAATATCTTAATAATGCAGAAGTGGCATTTGATAAATTCCAAAATCTGGTCGTTTTCCACCCCTGCCCCCAGAGATGGGGTCTCACTCTGTCACCTACAGTGGAGTGCCTGGTATAATCATAGCTCACTGCAGCCTCACACTCCTGGGCTAAAGCTATCCTCCCACCTCACTGGGATCATCACAGGCATGTGACACCATGCCCGGCTAGGTTTTTTCTTCTTCTTCTTCTTTGTAGAGACAGTGTCTTGCTTTGTTGCTCAGGCTGGTCTTGAACTCCTGGCTTTAACCGATTCTCCTGCCTCAGCCTCCCACAGTGCTAGGATTACAGGTGTGAGTCACCTACAACCACACCCAACATATATTTTTTTTCTTTTTTTAAAACGAAGTCTTGCTCTGTTGCCCAGGTTGGAGAGCAGTGGCGCAGTCTCGGCCTACTGCAACTCCCGCCTCCCAGGTTCAAGTGATTCTCTTGCCTCAGCCTCCTGAGTAGCTGGGATAACAGGCATGCACCAGCTAATTTTTTTTTTTTTTTTTTGTATTTTTAGTAGAGATAGGGTTTCATCATGTTAGCCAGGCTGGTCTTGAACTCCTGACCTCATGATCCACCCACCTCAGACTCCCAAAGCACTGGGATTATAGGCATGAGCTACTGTACTCAGCTCCAACATTCATTTTTAGTAAAATTTCTCAGCAACGTTAGAAATACATGGAACTTCCTAATTTTGATAGACGAGATCTACAAAACTGGAATAAACACAATGCAAAATGTTGAAAGCTCTCCTTTGAGGTCAAGAACAAGGCACACTTCTAGTCAGCACTGCTAGAAGTTCAAGCCAGTAGAATAAGGGAAGAAACATAAATAAAAGGTATACAGAATTGAAAGAAAGAAATTAAACTGTATTTCTGGACAGTTTTATATCTGAAAAACTGAAAATAATCTACAAACTATTAGAATGAATAAATTTACTTAGCAAGGTTGCTGGGTATAAGGTCAACATAAAAAAATTGACTATATTCATACAAACTACCATCAAACAACTAGAAAATGAAAAAAAGTGAGCTGAGATCATGCCACTGAACTCCAGCCTACGTGACAGAGCTAGACTCCATCCAAAAAAAATAAGCCAGGTGTGTCTGTAATCCCAGCACTTTGGGAGGCCAAGGCAGGTGGTTCACAAGGTCAGGAGTTTGAGACTAGCCTGACCAACATGGTGAAACCCTGTCTCTACTAAAAATACAAAAAAATTAGCTGGGCATGGTGGCACACACCTATAATCCCAGCTACTCAGGAGGCTGAGGCAGGAGAATCGCTTAAACTCTGGAGGTGGAGGTTACAGTGAGCTGAAATCCTGCCACTGTGCCCTAGCCTGGGTGATGGAGCGGGACTCTGCCTCAAAAAAAAAAAAAAAAAAAAAAAAAAAAACCAAGGGGGCACTGTGGCTCACACCTATAATCTCAGTACCTTGGGAGGCTAAGGCAGGCAGATCACCTGAAGTCAGGAGTTTGAAACCGGCCTGACCAACATGGAGAAACCCCATCTCTACCAAAAGTATGAAATTAGCCAGGTGTGGTGGCACGTGCCTGTAACCTGAGCTACTCAGGAGGCTGAGGCAGGAGATTCGTTTGGAGCTGGGAGGTGGAGGTTGTGGTGAGCTGAGATTACCCCATTGCACTCCAGCCTGGGCAACAAGAGTGTAACTCTGTCTCAAAAATAAATAAATAAACAAAAGTCGGCCAGATTCGATGGCTGAGGCCTGTAATTCCAGCACTTTGGGAGACTGACGCAGCCAGATAGCTTGAGCCCAGGGGTTCAACACCAGCCTAGGCAACACAGTGAGACCTCATCTTTAAAAAAAAAGTCATTTATAATATCATCTCAAAGTAGAAGTGGCTGGAAATTAATTTAACAACAATGTGTAAAACCTCTTAAAATTATAGATATATTAAAGGAGATATATTTTAATTATAGATATATTAAAGAAAGACCATTTCATCATTAGAAGACTCAATAATAGAAATATTTGATGCTTTCCTGACCTTAAGGGAAAAAATAGGCATATGTTAGCCCACTGCAGTGGCACACCTGCAGTCCTAGCTACTTGGGACGCTGAGGCAGGAGGATCACTTGAGCACAGTGCTCAAGGCTAGCCTGGGCAACATAGTGAGACCCATCTCTTAAAAAATAAAATAAAATTTTAAATAGGCAAAATGACAACGGAAATCAATTATAGAAGATATTTTATCTATATACAAATACAAGTGGATTACAGGCATGAGTCAACCACGCCCTGCAACTTTCAATTTTATAAACTGAGTTTTTACCACATTATTAACTTTTAAAAACAAACATGTGGCCTAGCAGGGTGGCTCATGCCTATAATCCCAGCACTTTGGGAGGCTGAGGCAAGTGGATCACGAGGTCAGGAGATTGAGACCATCCTGGCTAACACAGTGAAACCCCATCTCACTAAAAATACAAAAAATTAGCCAGGCTGGGTAGCACATGCCTGTAGTCCCAGCTACTTGGGAGGCTGAGGCAGGAGAATCACTTGAACCCAGGAGGCAGAGGTTGCAGTGAGCCGAGCTTGCATCAGTGTGCTCCAGCCTGGGCGCCAGAACAAGACTCCATCTCAAAAAAATAAAAAATACAAACAGACATGTTTGTTTTCAAATGGGCAAAACAACAAAAATATTTTGTTCCAGAAAATAATTTATATGATCTTGTAAATGTGTAAGATACTTAGGAAAGAAAGATGAAGATGAGTTGCCATGTTGGAAGAGCAGGCTCACTGAACAGCAGTGCTTGTTCCCTCCTTCTCCAGAGGGGTCACAATTGGTGGCTGGGTCACCCAGAGGAGTTTTCTGGGGTCACCATAACTTGTTCTCATTCAAACACCTTTTTCTGTATTCTTAGCTCATTTTGCCTATTTAAAAGACAAAAGCCTTTTAAGAAAATTTTCTTAATTCACATTTCCCTTAATGATTCCACCAAGACCCAGGCAGATGTAAAAATCTTTGTGCAGATGCAAAAATTTTTTCCTGCCTTAGGAAAAAATGTTACTTCTGTTACTTGAAAATTTTCACAATTTACCTGTTTTGGTCACTTGAGGCTGCCCTATCACAGAGTGCTTCCACTTGTCAAGAACTTCTGTTCTGTTTCTATACTGTAATAAAACCTACTCTACAGACAAATTTTTGCAAAACCTGAAAAACCTTTCTAAGGGCTGCAGAGCCACCTGGGGTATGCAAGCAGTAGTAATCTAATTTCTGAGCGAAGAGAATAACCCGTATATTTTGAAAGGAAAACTCCAGATTGTAAAATGGTAACAATGAACATGAGTGTTGGCCTCAAAGAGATACTATTTTATTTATCCCTAAGGAAAAACCACTCTATTTTTCTTGTTAAAATATTATTATGTAACAAGAACTACAAGCAACTTTCAAAGAGGAGTGGAATCTCACTTTGTAATCAAATAAATACAAGTTAAAATGGCTACATACCCTTTTTAATCTACCAAAATAGCAAAGGGTTTTTTGTACATGCCCTCCCACCCCCACCAAAAATTCCACTTTCTTTTCTTTTTAAGACAGAGTCTCGCTTTACCGCCCAGGCTGGAGTGCAGTGGTGCGAGGCTCACTGCAACCTCCACGTGATTCTCTGCCTCAGTTTCCCGAGTAGCTGGGATTATAGGCATGCACCACCACACCTGGCTAATTTTTGTATTTTTAGTAGAGATGGGGTTTCACCATGTTGGCCAGGCTTGTCTCGAACTCTTGACCTTAGGTGATCCACCTGCCTCAGCCTCCCAAAGTGCTGGGATTACAGGTGTGAACCACTGCATCTGGCCAAAAATGGCACTTTCATAGAATGGTAGTGAAAATGTAAAATGCAAAAAAACCCTACTGAAAAGCAAGTTTGCAGTCAGTATCAAGAGCTTTATAATTGTTCTTTCACTCAGTAATTCTACATCCACAGATTTAGCCTAAGGAAGAAAATAAGAAACATATAAAATGGTTAAAGAGTAAAGGTACATTGTTAGAAGGTTCATTAAATAATTACGGGATATACAATTATAGGATTCTTTTGCAAACTTTAAAATTATTTACCTAGAGATTTTAAAAACATGGGAAATTATTTAATATTATAATTATGGTGCTTATAAAGTTAAACACGTAGTCCAATCTTATCTCTAGTGAAAAGAAATTCACCAAAAAAGTGCTTACTGTATTTTTTAAACATGGGATTTGAGAGACTCCATATTAATAGCCTGACTGTGCATTGAAATTCTTATTTAGGGCCTAACACAGAGGAGGTGTTTGCTAAATGTTAATTTCCTGCTACCTGATTTTTCCCTCCAAGGTTGTTTCTGTATTTTTTTTAGGGTCCAGAATTGTGTTTTGTGCATGATGCTTACTGAATTAAAAAATTAACATATGCATGAAAAATAAAAAATTTCACCCAAATGTTACAAGTAGTTATTTGGTAGGCTGTAAATGTGTATGTTTTCATTCACCTAAATTTATTTCTTCTTTTCATTTGTCTCATAATATTTTTTTTCCTTTTTGAGATAGAATCTTGCTCTGTTGCCCAGGCTGGAGTGCAGTGGCATGATCGCAGCTCACCACAACCTCTGCCTCCTGGGTTCAAGCAACTCTCCTGCCTCAGCCTCCCAAGTAGCTGGGATCACAGGTATGAGCCACCATGCCCAGCTATCTTTTATTTTTGTATTTTTAGTAGAGACAGGGTTTCACCATGTTGGCCAGGCTGGTCTCAAACTCCTGACCTCAGGTGATCCGCCCGCTTTGGCCTTCCAGAGTGCTGAGATTCATCATCTCATAATACAAAAAGAGGATTTATTTTGATTTATAGTGACTAACGATACATTCTAACATATCAGACCATAAAGAAATGATTTCAAGAACATAATAATAGTGACCTAACCTCTATGCCTGTTCTCCCTCTGCCCTTCAAAAAAACTATATAAATTTGAGTATTTTGGTTTTCATCAGATACTTGAAATGCCAACAACAAAAGGCGCTCCTACATTCCAAGTTGAGGGGCTGGACCAGACACTTTCAATCCGAGATTCCACTGCGATACTGCAGAGGCCATTGGAAGGAGGTCCTAGTGCTCTGTGGCATTTCCCACAAGCCCAGAGAAAGGCTTCAACAAAACCATTTGTAGAGCTTGACATGAGTCCCCTGGAATCTGGGGAAGGGTTTAATATCTGATTCCAAAGAGTAAACACTGCTTTGGCCGGCTTGCTGGGAGAGCAAGGAAGCATGGCCACACTGCGAACTGATGGACTTGCAGATGATCCCACTGGAGGGATAAGGAAGTTGTTTACTGTGAGCCACACAGATCCTGTAGAAGGCACTGGACATGAGTAGGTTTAAAAGGACCCTGTACCACTGGCCCACCTGAAGGAAGGAAGTGATCTCAATAAAAGGGTAATTCTCCCCAGAACACAGACTCTGAGGGTGAAACTGCAAGTGGCATGCTGATGGAGGTATCTGAATGAACCATCAAGGAAACTGCATAAGGGAGATCCCTAGTGATGAGCAGTGTCTCAAAAATCTACCACACCCCCTCTAGAGAGAAAGAGCCAGTACTGGAAACGCAACATACACGGCACCCAGCTGCCTGATCACAAGGCAGCAGCTGTTTATTGTTTTTTTAATTTTAATTTTAATTTTTGAGACAGGGTCTTGCTCTGTCACCCAGGCTGGAGTGCAGTGGTACAATCTTGGCTCACTGCAGCCTCTGCCTCCCAGGTTCAAGCGATTCTCGTGCCTAACCCTCCTGGGCAGCTGGGACTGCAGGCATGCACCGCCATACCTGGCTAATTTTTTGTACTCTTAGCAGAGAGGGGGTTTTGTCATGTTGGCCAGGATGGTCTCAAACTCCTGGCCTCAAGTGATCTGACCACCTCAGCCTCCTAAAGTGCTGGGTTTACAGGTGTGAGCCACCACGCCAGGTGAGCAGCAGCTATTTAAAGCTGAACCTTATTCTCTGTAACTATTCTCACCATCCCAAGGGACCACAAGCAGCACCTGCTAGTGAATAGATAAGAAAGTGGAGTGCAAGAGAAGGCATCAACTCCACCCTTTCCCCACTGCAGGCTCCTGAGCCCCAGCTGAATGAGAACAGACATTTTGAATTAGAAGAAGGTTTATAGTTTTAACAAATACTCTGAGCTAGAATGGATAACATCAGATGGTGATTGGAAATCCTATGATCTGCTTGAAATTCCATCCAGAGATATGGTGGAAGGTGGAGAACAACCCACAAAGCAAATTTACTTGGAGAGTGGTGAGAAAGAAAGAATACAGTTACTTTCTGCTCTACTTCATAGAAAGTCTAGCTTGTGGCTGGGCACAGTGGTTCATGCCTATAATCCCAGCACTTTGGAAGACCGAGCCAGGTGGATCACCTGAGAGCTCAGGAGTTTGAGACTAACACGGCCAACATGATGAAAACCCATCTCTACTAAAAATACAAAAATTAGCTGGGTACAGTGGTGGGCTTCTGTAATCCCAGCTACCGGGGAGGCTGAGGCAGGAGAATTGCTTGAACCTGGCAGGCAGAGATTGCAGTGAGCCAAGATTGCACCACTGTACTCCATCCAGCCTGGGTGACAAAGCAAGATTCTGTCTCAAAAAAAAAAAGTCTAGCTTGTTTAATAAACAAGAAAACAGAGTAAGATAATTCTACTTAACATACTTAGCAGTCTCTGATATAATAGTGCCCAATTAACATTGATTATTTTTATTGAAAAACAGTAATAGAGTATCTTATTTTCTACTTTTAGAATAGAAAAATAATAGAGGTGATAGTATATCTTGACCAGAAATTAACTCAATTAATTAATATCTTGACCAGAAATTAATTGAAAAGCAATTTAGCATTACTATAACCATGTTTTTCAGTGTACCATACTTTCTATATATGCTTATATAAAGTACAAATATAAAAATAATTTTTTCTAGTATTCTCATACAGTATTAACCTACACTGGCAACTGCTAAATGGAGTCTGGTTTGGGGGCTTTTAACTAGCACTGCATCCTAGAATTATCTGTGGAGCTTTTAAAAAGAACACATTCTTATATCTGAGGCAAGACTTACCCAGTCAGAATCTCTGGGTCTGGAAACCAGATGTATGTATTTTGAAAAAGCTCCTCAGGTGGTTCAATTGTAAAATGGGTATTGCCAGTCACTGGCCTAGGTCAGTCACTTAGCTGTTTTGTAAACTAGAAGCCAGACTCCTAGACTTTTGGTCTAGTTGGGGCTACCCAGAAAATTTGTTAAAAAATAACAAAAGACATCTGAATTAGATAACTAAGTAATTGATTAACCAACATAAACAAAATGAATCCATTCATCAAACATTTACTGGGTACTCCCTCTGCACGAGGCTCAGTATCAGGTATGGGGATTCTTCTCTACCCTGAAAATGTTCTCAGCCTACAAGTGTGTGAATTATTTAAATGTGGCTACTCTCAGTTTATATTAGATACTAAGAGAAAGGCGACAAGGAGTTACTTCGAAGGCTTACTTGCACAATACTATGGCGTACAAGGACTCTCCCACATGAATCAGCCAGGCAAGCCAATACCTGAAACCAAAAAAAAAGTCTTTTTTTAAGGTGATAGTTATCTGCTGATGAAATCTAACACAGCAATCTCAAAAAAGAAAAGCATCTTAATGTGAACTAGCACTACTCTTAGATACCAAAAGGCAGCTGCAGGCCTTCCAGGTCTCCCCTGAGACCAGAGCTGCAGTGTCCACAGCCCATTTGTGCAGCTCTCCTTACCCATTGGTCAGGAGGGTGTGATGGTGGTCCACCAAGTACTGAGTGAAAGAACCCAGGGGCCCAAGGCTCTGATAAGGGATACTCTGAGGCCAGAAGACAACCCACTGAAAGAGAACCAGAGACACAGAATACCTATTAGGTCACTTAAAACCTGTTTTTTTGTTTGTTTTGTTTTTATGAGAAAGGCTGTGAAACAATACGAAAACAACTATAGACCAAAGAAACTCTGAACAGTCATCTGGGCCTCCATTCTTGACTTCCATTTTCTTTCTTTCTTCTTTCTTTTCTTTCCTTCCTTCCTTCCCTCCTTCCTTCCTTCCCTCCTTCCCTCCCTCCCTCCCTCTCTCTCTCTCTCTCTCTCTCTCTCTCTCTCTCTTTCTTTCTTTCTTTTTTTTGAGACAGGGTCTCACTCCACTGCTGGGCTAGAGTGCAGTGGCATGATCTTGACTCACTGCAGCCTCTACCATCTGGGCTCAATCCATTCTCCCAACTCAGCCTCCCAAGTAGTTGGGACCACACGTGTGTGCCATCATGCCTAGCTAAAAAACATGCCTAGCTACTTTTAAAAATTGTATATAGAGGTGGGGTGCAGTGGCTTACACCTGTAACCCCAGCACGTTGGGAGGCCGAGGTGGGAGGATCACCTGAGGTCAGGAGTTTGAGACCAGCCTGGCCAACATGGCAAAACCCCATCTCTACTAAAAATAAAAAAAAATAGCCAGATGTGATGGCAGGCGCCTGTAGTCCCAGATGCTTGGGAGGCTAAGGCTGGAGAATCACTTGAACCTGGGAAGTATAGGTTGCAGTGAGCGGAGATTGTACCACTACACTCCAGCATGGGCAACAGAGTGAGACTCCATCTCAAAAAAAACAAAACATAACAAAAATTAGCTGGGCATGGTGGCACGAACCTGTAGTCCCAGCTACTCCAGAGGCTGAGGGGGAAGAATCACCTGAACGTGGGAGGTGGAGGTTGTAGTGAGCCAAGATCATGTGACAGAGCAAAACCCTGTCTCAAAAAATATATAAATATAAATATAAATAAAAATTAGCCAATCGTGGTAGCCCACACCTGTAATCCCAGCTACTTGGGGGTACTGAGTTGGGAGGATTGCTTAAGACCCCAGCAGTCAATGCTGCAGTGAGCTGTGATCATGCCACTGCATGATCACAGCCTATAATCCCCGAGTAGCTGGGATTACAGGCATGTGCCACCATGCCCGGCTAATTTTTATATTTATTTTAGTAGAGACGGGGTTTCTCCACGTTGGTCAGGCTGGTCTCGAACTCCCGACCTTAGGTGATCCGCCTGCCTCTCTCTCCCAAAGTGCTGGAATTACAGGCGTGAGCCACCGCGCCCAGCCTAATTTTTGTATCTTTAGTACAGAGTTTCACCATGTTGGCTAGGCTGGTCTCCAACTCCTGACCTCAGGCAATCTGCCTGCTTTGGCTTCCCAAAGTGCTGGGATTACAGGAGTGAACAACCGTGTACGGCCCATGGCTAATTTTTTTTTTTTTGTAGAGATGGGGTTTTGCCATGTTGCCCAGGATAGTCTCGAACTCCTGGACTCAAGTGATCTGCCTGCCTCAGCCTTCCAATGTGCTGGAATTACAGGTATGAAACACCGTGCCTGGCTGACTCCTATTCTTTTTTTTTTTTTTTTGAAACAGAGTCTTGCTTTGTTGCCAGCTGCCAGGTTCTTTTTTTTTTTTTTTTGAAACAGAGTCTTGCTTTGTTGCCAGCTGCCAGGCTGGAGTGCAGTGGCTTGATCTCGGCTCACTGCAACCTCCACCTCCCCGGTTCAAGCAATTCTCCTGCCTCAGCCTCCTGAGTAGCTGGGACTACAGGCGCGTGCCACCTCACCCAGCTAATTTTTTATTTTTAGTAGAGATGGGTTTTTACCATGTTGGCCAGGATGGTCTCGATCTCTTGACGTGATCTGCCCACCTCGGCCTCCCAAAGTGCTGGGATTACAGGTGTGAGCCATCATGCCCAGCCATGACTCCTATTCTTAATACATTTGACCAAAATCAGTATTTTATAAAAGATATTTGCAAATTTTGAATTTATGTGCTTTGGTTAGTTTCTTTACTGCAGAAACTGGCTTGAGACAAAACTCTTGCTTAATTTAGAATTCATTTCTCAGCTTTCCCTTTTTGTACCTCTAAAACTGAGAATGAGCCACTGCAAAGAGATGGAAAATAAATGAGATAAGGTTTGTGACATTTTAATAGCAACTGCTTAATCACGTTTTTTGTAATCTTAACATTTTCTCAGCCTCTGTGTTGTAACCTCTACCAGCTTAGAGTTTCCTGAGAATAACTGCCAACAGTTTCAAAATGTATTGTCCTATTCATATCTTTGTCAAGAGCAGTGCTACCTCTCTCACTATGTTGTCTCACATTTGAAATTTAAATAAAGCACAAATACCACTGCATCCTCCCAAACCCAAGGGCAGGGGGAGCATCTGCCAGCTCTGCAAGATCCCAATTTGAAGTCCTCAAAGCTTTCCTCTAACTATATTCTAACTAGTCACAGGCACAGAATTGTAAAACAAAATTCACCTTTGAAAATTTTCAGTTCAACACCTCCACTTTAATACAAGGAAATCAGGACAGAGGTGGTCAGATTTTACACCAACAAACACCTCTGTGGACATGACAAATCCCCAATCTCCAGGATCTACTGGTATATCCCAATAGCTTCGCCTTCCTTCAAAATTTTACCACCTTATCACTTGAGGTCAGGTGTTCGAGACCAGCCTGACCAATATGGTGAAACTCCGTCTCTACTAAAAATACAAAAAATTAGCCAGGCGTGGTGTAATCCCAGCTACAGGTTGAGGCACAAAAATCGCTTGAATCTGGGAGGCAGAGGTTACAGTGAGCCGAGATCGCGCCACTGCACTCCAGCCTGGGTGACAGGGCAAGACTGCGTCCCCCCCACCAAAAAAAAAGTTACCACCTTAGCCCACAACCTACTTTTCCACGCATCTTTCTCGTTATCCTTTAAACAGATTCTTTCTCAGCCAAACGTCGCTTTTTCTCAGTAGTTTCCTTCTTGCTTCCACACCTATGTCGTAACAGTTATATCGGCTCTATAACGTCTTACCACTTAAATCCTACCCATCCTTTATGTTTTTTCCCGTTTTCCAAGCGATTCCTACTGGCTCAAACATTCTGCTGCGGAAGCCCTATTCTGCCTTGGCTGGCCTATGGCAGCCTGTCAACTTGACTTCCCACTTCGTGAGAGGCTTAGGCTCGGTGAACCCCTTAGTAACAGAGCAGAGGTAACGACGCAAAGCAGGAACACTGGGAAGCAGAAACCATCCCAAGAGCCCACCGAACTTCCGCTTACAGGAGTAACCTAGGCAATCGTCAGCCGCGCGTGCGCACAGACCTCGTTCCCACAGCGCCCCTCGCCCTACGAGGGCCCGGCGGGACAAAACAGACGCCCGCCCCCGCCCCACAGCTCACCGCGAAGTAGCCCAGCCCCAGGACTGTGACCAGAGAGGGCAAGGGTCTGGGTAGACGGAAATAGGCGGTAGCCGCGCTGCTGGCCTTCGACTTCGCCATCCTCTTAGAAAACCTAGACACAGAGTTGGCTGGGAACTCCCCAGCCGTCCCCGCCCCTATATAAGAAAAGCCTGGCTAGCCGGTTTCTCAGGGGGCCGGGCGCCCGCCCAAGACCCTGGCGGACCAGTGCGCCTGCGTCTCATTCCGGAGTCTCGGCTCTTCCCCTCTGCTCCAAGCGCGTGGGAGCTGGGATTGTGCTTGTACGACCTCCCCCGGCCTGCGGGCCAAGGTCCTGCGGTGAACCGAGCGCTCGCTCCCTGGCCCGACTGTGGCCCTCCAGCGGCCGCGCTTACTGTGTGGTAGCCAAAGCTGAGGGTGATGACTGTGAACCAGAACAGACTGCCTCTCTGGAAGTAGGCCGCAGCGCGGGCTGCCGTAGCCATGGTTGCAGCACCTCCCTTGGAGCGCGCGGTTGGACAATGTCCAGCGCGAGCGCAGAGGCTGGGCCGGGGCGGGGCCGCGCTCATCCGGCTATCCGCGCAGGATGACGTTGGTGCAGGTTGGGAGCTCCCTGTGAGCAAGTCTCCCTGTCTGGCCCCAGTACCCTGTCTGGTTCCAGTACAGGGGGCCTTGGAATCACACTTGGGCTTAGATCTGGCGGGCTTGTCACCTTGTAGGGGAGACTCTTCTCTGTGATGTTTCTGGGTTTAAGATAAAGATATTGGGGCCGGCGCGGTGGCGTTTCCCTGTAATCTCAGCACGTTTGGCGGTAGGATCGCTTGAACCCAGGAGTTTGAGACCATCCCGGGCAACATAGCGAGACCCTGTCTGAATGAATGAATGAATGAATGAATGAATTAGATGTTGGAATAAATTACAGCAGTTTGGGAGGCTGAGGCGGGTGGATCACTTAAGGTCAGGAGTTTGAGACCAGCGTGGCCAACATGGTGAAACCGCGGCTCTACTGAAAATACAAAAAGTTACCTGGGCGTGATGGCGTGTGCCTGTAGTCCCAGCTACTCGGGAGGCTAAGACAGGAAACTCTTGAACCTGGGAAGTGGAGGTTGCGGTGAGCTGAGATCGCACCACTGCACTTCAGCTTGGGCTACAGAGTGACACTCCATATATATATATATATATA